ACACATTTTCCAGGGTGCAAAATCGATGTAGTGGAAACCGATGCCCCAGACCACATACCAACCCTCTTCGAGGATCTCTTGGAGGAGCTACTGGAGAGGGAAAAGATAAAATTTGCTGTCTTCAGCTTATCACCCTATAATTAACCGGGTATAGACGGAATACTACCAGATATGCTTTAGAAAGCTTCTGAGATGGTCATTCCAGTCCTAGAAACAATTTTTAGAGGGTGTCTAGTCCTGAACCACGTTCCATTAAGGTGGAGGAAGATTAAAGTAATTTTTATTCCTAAAGCGGGCAAGCGGTGTCATGCCAATGCTGAAGATTTCCGACCAATAAGCCTAATATCATTTGTGCTCAAGACGTTTGAGAGGCTGTTGGATTTGTATGTTAGGGACAAGACGTCCAATTTATCATGCTCTCAACAAGCGTACTTGAAAGGGAAGTCAACGGAGACTGCCTTACATGAAGTGGTACATATAATTGAGAGTTCGCTCTACTATAAACAATTTACAATGGCGTGCTATAGACATCGAGGGGCCTTTAATAATGTGAGTGTAGATTGCATCCATGAGGCACTTATGGAAACAAGGATTGATCAGTGTGTCCGGGCTTGGATAGTGTCTCTTCTACTAAGGAGTAGAGTAATACATGACGAATCGGGGTACCAAAGCAGGGCCGTATATGCAGTGAGTGGCACCCCACAGGGAGGAGTGCTATCACCGTTACTATGGCTCATGGTCTTAAACAAACTACTGGTACTCAGAGAATCAAAGCGGTGGCTTACGCCGACGATGCAGCGGTACTGGTATCTGGTCAGTTTCCTTCGGTCATGTTCTGTTAGCGTAAACCCTGAGAAAACTGACTTTATGCTTTTCACAAATAAAACAAAATTACCTAATTTTAATAGACCAACGTTCCGAGGAATGGAACTGGATCTGTCAAACAAGGTGAAATGCCTTGGAGTTATTCTGGATCACAAACTTAACTGGTAACCAAACATTGAGGAACTTGCTAGGAAGGCCACGGGTGCTCTTTATGCAGCCAAGAGAAAGTTGGGCAACAGATGGGGTTTGAAACCAAGAATTGTGCACTGAATGTACACGGCTTTAGTCCGACCCATAATCTCTTACGGGGCGCTGGTCTGGTGGCCAGCCCTTACTAAGGATTGCGCAGTTAAAAAGCTAGGGGGAATTCACAGTTCAGCAGCCGCTAGCGTAACAGGTGCAATGAGATCCTGTCCGAAGGACGTTTTGTACGTCCTTCTTGACTTATTACGCATAGATACCTTTCAAATTCAGCTGCTAACAGCGCCATCAGACTGCGTGCCCTGGGGCTCTGGAAGGAAAAACTATTCGGGTTCGGTTCGCTGCCCACTGACTATATCCTGTCGAAGACCTGGGTTCACCATAAATCCCGAGCGAAATTCCCAAGCTACAGTGACTGGAATGCGGAAAATTTCGGGTTCTTGCAGGGCTTAAATGTCTTTACGGATGGGTCAAAGATGGAATCCGGAGTTGGTGCTGGGGTTTTCATTGAGCAATATAACCTAAAATTATCCTTCCGCCTAGCAGACTATGCAAGCGTTTTCCAGGCCGAAGCGTTTGCTATTAAGGAGACAGTAAGGTACATCAAAGAGAATGTACACGCGAGAACGCAAGTGAACATCCTCTCGAATAGCCAAGCGGCTATTCAGGCACTTTCTTCTAACTCTGTTAGATCTCAGCTAGTGGATAAATGGCAGAGTGGCAGAGGATGAACTGCACAGCATCTTAAAGAGTTTCCCGGCAGTTCTGGGTGTCCTACGACCCACTCAAAACCAAAGCTCCAAAGCAGTGTGGACAGGCGTACATGCCAAAAGGATAGTACTGCCCTTCAATAAGTTCTGTCGCAGCTGCGAGGACCCGGGCATAAAAGAGACAGTCGAACACTTGCTGTGCGAGTGTCCAGCCCTAGCAAGGATGAGGCTAAAGATACTCGGCAAACCATTCCGGCAGAATATTTCAGAGTGTAATCCACTAAAACCAACCAACCAAGCGTATACTCCATAAGCGCGGCCGAAGGCCGCCTACGCAGAAAGACTTTCTGTGCTAAAATACTTCGGCCTCCTTTTTTCCCGCAACACAGAAAGGAGAATTCTACTTAGTAAGGGTTATAATCCATAAGTGCGACCGATGGCCGCCTAAGCAGAGAGAAGCTCTGCGCAAAAATACTTCGGCCCCTTTTTTCCGGCTACACAGAAAGGAGAATTTTACTTAGGGAGGTTTAATATCAAGGAATGAAACCGATTCAAAATAACGTTCCGGGGTCGGTTTCGGTTTTGCATCGTGTTACGTTTTCGGGTTAGGTTTCGCTCTTCAAAAGTTGTTTCAGTTTCGGTTTCGTTCCGGTTTCGGTTTTGGCATAAAAAAATGAAAACAAGTTTGACAAAAGTTCATCACCAGATACACAGCAACAACGTCATCACCAGATTCACTTAAATTTTTCCTTTTTGCGTGTAAAATTGAAGATGTATGAAACCTAAAATATAATTGCTATTTTCGTCAAATATTTTATATATTTATATATATTTAAATATAATTGTTATTTTCGTCTAATATTTATTAAATAATTATGAAACTTTATCCACCCATTGATTTATGTGCGCTTTACAATTATACATGTGAAAATGAAAATGAAAATGACTTCTTCCAAATAACCGAGGCTAGATCGGAGATTTAATTTATTAGGCATCTTTTTAGGAGCTTTTTGCGAAGAACCTTTGCCAAAATTACTACTTAACAAGAATTTCAGAATGAGAGCGCAAGACGAACTCGACAAGAAAAAGAGGAAGCATCGACCAAAAGGCAGTATTGCCAAGTTTTGAATTTGAAAAAGCACCAAATATTTATTGGTGTATTTTATGGACCTTATATGCATACATAATTTTATTATAAGGATGCCGATTCAAATTAATAAAAGTCAATATTTCTTGCACGACGGTCGATTTCTTCTGGCATGATTGAAGGTGCTGCCACATTTTTTGTTGTCGCTTATGATTTTTACTGTGCCATGATTTTATTTAAATTTTTGTGAAGTTGCTTACCACACTTATGAGTGCTATAAATTTTGCTTCCGTTTTTTTAAGATTTTATAATTTGGTGACTTCAAACTAAAAACAAAAGCACCAAAAACGCACCAAGCACCAAACTCAAAAATTTTCGCGTTTTGAATACCCACTAAATTTGGTGCGAAAAGCATCAAGTTGGCAACAGTGAATGTAAACAAAAGCATTTTATGACGTCAGCGATTGGGTGGATGCTGTCAAATCGGCGATGAGAGGGTTAGCGGTCCGCGAATGGCGCGACCTTTATTTTCTGGATCGTGCGTAGCCGGTGTTGGACGGACTAGGGTTGTCTTTTTTAAATACTTTGTAAAGTAAGGACTATTGATGGCGTACTTTATAACAAATGAAAGCTTGATAAATTTTCTGTTTAATTCAAGAACTTTTGCATATAACGAATAGGGTGATACAAATTTTTTTAATATATGTTTTAAATTGATTGGATTTTTTATGAAAACTGTTTAAGGTATATATAACATATGTATATCAAATTAAAGAGAATTCTCTATCGAATGACATCAAAAGTTCCAAAATCCATGAAAACGTTTTCGCAAAATATTGATTTAAAAAATGCCTAATTTGAACTTTGACCTTTAATAATTCTTGTAGGTTTTGTTTCCCTCGAAAAATATACCGTTATGTTCATCTTAATTTTTTATTTCTTATTTGAGAATTGTAGGTATTCTGCATTTGTTCCGCCCCCTGTTAAATGGAGGAAAATATACCAAATCGGGGTTGCTCTATCTTCTGGTGGTATAACCGACTTCCGGTTTTGACCGGAAGTGGATTAAACTGACCAGAAGTCCTTTTTTTTTAATTAGAAATACATACATGCTTTGACTAAAGATTCGGATTCTGTATATAAAAACGCGTAACTGTCGTTTGAAACTTTTTTCTCGGAAGTGCCTTTTCCAACCTCTACATGACTTTCAAACTTCAATTCTTCCTAGCTTGCTTAAACGAGTGAAAATATTTTTATTGGAAAACGAAGACTACTAAGTCGGGGATTCTCTATCTTTTAGTCGTATTACCGACTTCCGGTTTCGACCGCAAGTAGGTTACACAGACCGAAAGTACATTAGGGCTATTCGCGATCCGGTGCAAATGGCCTAGCATCATTGCATTGCAAATTTGTATTGCAAATTATTTGCAATACACAAACAAAATACACGCATTTGCATTTGTCATGGCTTGGCAAATTTGCAATACCGAAAATCCATAGCATAAATATGCTATGCATTGCATTCATAAACAAAACCAAAGCTGATGCACAAAAAGTGTTTTGCAAAAGCTTTACCATGACAGTTTAATAAAGGTCGCTCACAATCCATGGCATATTTCTGCAATTGCATAAATTTGTCAGCTCTTATGCACCGAATCGCGAATAGCCCTATTATTTTAATAGGAAGTCCATTCCAGAAAAAAGTTTCCAACAAAAGATATGTATGCATTTTTGTTGGCAGAGCCCGAATAAATCAGTCCAACCAAAATCGGAAGTCGGTAATACGACCAAGAGATAAAGCATTCCCGACTTGTTGATTCATATTTTTTCGTTTTCCATTTTAGAAGTCCAGGACGAGTTTAAGTGCGAAGGTCATTTAGTCGTTGAAAAAGGCATATCCGAGAAAAAGGTTTCAAACTAAAGCTTCTTATTTTTATCCTCAGAATCCGATCCAGTAATAAAAACATTAATGTCTAATTTAAAAAAGGAACTTCCCTTCACAACAAGGTAGAGCATTTCCAATTTGTTATGACATATTTTTGCGTTTTCCATTAAAAAACATTTCTCCACATTTTATATGGGGTGACGGGTGGTCTAGGAAACCCTGTATACATATGTGCATACATACATACATATGACACGGTATCATATTTGTTAAGGCTCTCTTCATTACTTACTCAAAAACTCGATCTAGTTGATTGGCTTCTGACGTGCCCGGAAAAAGGGCTTTGCGCGCAAACATTTCTGCTATAATACAAGCAACACTCCAAATATCAACTGAACTATTATAAGATTGTGCCAACAAAACTTCGGGAGCACGGTACCAAAGTGTCACCACTACGGAAGTTAATTTCATTTCGAAATCGTACGTTTTCGCCAAGCCAAAATCTGCAATTTTTAAGTGACCTTGCGACGATATCAGTAAATTTTGTGGCTTTAAGTCTCGGTGAATGATTCGATGAGAGTGTAGAAAATCTACTCCAGTTAAGAGCTCCCGTGACAAACGCTAGAAGAAAGAAAAAACAGCTAAGTTAATTTTAATTTCAAAAGCAACTTTTTTAAATTAATAAAGGAAGATGCACGAATGATTCAATAACACTGAAAAATTTCTAAAATTTTGAAATTACACAAAAAACGCCGAAACACGTGAGCTTAATTTTGAGACGCAGATTCCGGACCTGTATCCAGTTTTTTTATATCAGGTAATTTTCCAAAGATATTTTCATTTTAATTTGCATTGGTAATAAAAAATGCTAACTTCAACAGAGAAAAAAAACAGATGTTTAGTAATTTTTTTTTGTTTTTACTATAGTCTGTTTAACAAAAAATCAACCTACTAACGAAAAAATCAAGCTACTAACGAAGAAAATCCAAGGATAAAAAAAGTTGTGAATGTTCGGAGCAGGAAAGAATGTTACTCATACGTACGGCGACCATCCGTACTGTTTTGTGCGTGGCAGTCCTCTTTTTTTACCTCCCTTTTATTAGCTCGGGATGTAACTATGTAATATTGATGCGCCTAAAAGATTCAGCGATTTCTATTCTCAAGTTACATACCTGATGGCAGTACGAATGGAAATTATAATAGCGGGGTTTTGGTTTTTTTTAAACTATAATTTTATTTAGTGAGTTGTTCTGCTAATTTTACATGACTACATGATAGTGGTCCTCGATCAACTTTGCGTGAGGATACGTGGTTCTTATGGATTTCCGGAAGGTGGACCTGGGACCAATATATTTTTGTTGTTCTGTAGCTCAGCTCCGATTTGCTTGAAATTTCGAATTAATATCTTTACTAATTATATAAAGAGAAGTGCCTTCTTTTTACAAAAGGTGAACTCTCGCACGCTTATACCGATTTTTTGAAATTTTGGACACCCACTGCAGACTTTCCAAGGATGTTTATAGGCTGATAATAATTTCGATATATCAAGGGAGTGTGGCATCTCCCATCCAAATCGAATTTTTCATACCGCGCATCTCTGGAAGTATTTGTGGTAGAGTCCTGAAACTTGAAAAGGGGCGAGGCGCCTTCCAGACATACTGAAACTTTTACCTATCTGTAAATTCATAAATAATTCTTCGATACGTTTGTTTGTGAGTGAACTCCTCCTAAACGATTTTGATAACTTTTTTTTTTATGTGTTTGAGTGGGTCCCTGTTGATAATAATAGGGTCAGTACTATTGCAAAAAAAGAACTGCAAGGTGGCGCTGGAGTCGATTTATTTGTAAATATCGCCAAGTGAAGTCATTCGGAAACAGACAATTCTTAATAAATACCTACTAATACAATTGTAAGATGATTGTTTTTTGAGGCCAGTGTTAAAATTTCCTATTGATGAAGGCGTGAAGTACGCCGAAACGCGTAGGAGGAAGAGAAAGCTCTACCAATGACCCAATAGGAAATTTTAACACTGGCCTCAAAACACAATCAACTTAATTTATTTGGAGAGCAACTACCGATACAACCAGGAAACAAAGCATAAATTACACAACACGAAACACTTTTTCGAACACATTAGATTTAAATATGACGAGGTTACTTGCTACACCATAAAACTGTACAACAAAAACTATAAAAAATTAGCTAAACAAGAACAAAGACTAAAATTTCTACTAAAATGCAAGAATTTTGGAATAACACCACCACACTTAACGGATAAATTATGGAGAATAAAACATGGGTTCCAATTGGACATTACGAAAAAAGAGTTAGAAAAAATTGAAGAACAGTTTATACTGAAAATCGTAAATTTGGAAATAAAAAAAGCTAACATGCAAATAAAATTAGTCCGAAAAAGTATAGAACACATCAAAACAAATCTACATAGGAGGAGTCTCATTTCATGCTAGTAACAGAAAAACTGAAACAATTTAAAACAAATATAGCACGTCACACCGAAAACAGTCTCAATGAAAAATTACAAAGCCATCTAAAAAAATAATTTTACAACATACGGGTTTATAATCAATGAAGATTGGTTTATAAATAGAACCAGCATCCCAATTCCAAGAGAATCTCGATGGCTTCTTTCCTTAGGGAAAAAGTTTGCGCTGCCTATGACACGGAACAATTTCTCGCCGGTTCACCTGATTGCGGAATTAGAGCCGGGAATTCAGACTTTAGAGGAAGCAGAGAAAAAGATACTGCAAGATTCAATATCGTCACTAGAGACGAATGAAGGCGCGCCAAAAACTCTTTACGGAATGTACATACTATTACAACCGCAAACATAGTTGACCGCGAAAAAAAGTATACGCCTCCTTCTTCGACGCCAAATATTTAAACGCGTCTTTCTTTGCCGTCAACTATGTTAAGAGTCTTTCTTCGCTGAAGTTTTGTTATGCGCCTTTTTTCACGGTAAACTTTTGAGCTCGCGCCTTTATTCGTGTCTAGTGACGATATAGCCACCAGCATTAACGCATTCAAAAATAAATTTAAAAACAATAAAAAAGAAAAATGTATACTTAGAATATTTGAAGACACAAAACGGTTTATAAAACAACATACGGACTCTATAGTAATTACAAATGCGGATAAGGGAAATAAAACGGTGATGATGAAAATGAAAGATCTATTGAACGACATATATACATACAAAACGATACAAATGGACCCAACATAAAAAGTGCTGAAAAGAAACAACGCGATAGTAAATGACGTATACAAACAGAAAAACATGGACAATTATCAGCACCTAGACTATATGGACTTCCGAAAGTACACAAGGAAAATACACCCTTGAGACCTATTTCTGCTTCATCCAATGTGCCCTGTTACAGCCTTTCAAAGGTCATTGGACAAACTCTTACCACTCTCACAAGAAAGCAGTTCTTAACGATGTTAGAATTCTGTCTATGCGACAATAACTATTTTTTTATGATATATTACCAACAAATACACGGAATGCCGATGGGAAACCCGTTATCGCCCACTGTAGCTGACATTGTTCTGGATAAAACACTTGACGACAGCATCGCTGAATTGAAATCTAAGGACATATGTATCAAATACATCAATAAGTATGTAGATGATATCGAACCCTAAGCGCCAAAATAACGTAAGCGCCATTTTTTCAAAATTTTCTTTCCGATGCCGAAATACATCTAGATGCGCGAGGAATATTTCTGCATTAAAAATAAAATTTTGAAAAAAATGTCGCTTACGTTATTTTGGTGGTTAGGGCTCGATATATTCGCGATCGTAAAAAGAAATGACGTAAAAGATATTTTAAATGTGTTAAATTCCCAACACAATAAAATCCAATTCATCACCGAGTTAGAAGAGGGAAACCAATTAGCCTTCTTAGATTTCGAAATTCACCACTCAAATAATAAAATAGTAACAAATTGGTAGTCGAAATCTATAGCATCTTCGAGAATGATAAATTACCCTCGAACCATCTATGGGCACAAAAGAAGAATACGGCAACAAACCTGATCAACAAAATCTACTCCTTAAGTGACCAGGAGTTCAGAAAAAGTAACTTGCAGAAAATAATAAATAGACTGCACAAGAACGGGTACACAAATAAAACTATTGGGATACTAATGGCAACAACAATTAGAAAACTAAAATCAGCGCAAACAAACAATAAGTTTTCAAACAGAAGATTTACAGGAGTCACATACATACAAGGCCTAACCGACAGCAAAACACTGCACAGAAATATTCAAAACAAGAACATAACATATGCACATAAGCCACATAGCACGCTATATAAAATATTCACCAAAACAAAAGACGAAATAAACAAACAACAACAGCATAATGTGGTCTATCAAATCCCATGCACAGGTAAAGTCAACAAAAACTGCAACAAAGTATATATAGGCACGAGTAAACGAGCCCTTGGAGTCAGAATTAGTGAACACCAAGCAGACGCAAAAAATAAGAAGACAACAGCAGCACTTGCACAGCACTTGACGAATAGCGAACATAAAGCAGATTTTGAGAACACCATAATTTTGGACGTACAACTTTGGAGAGTCTGCGAATACAGGAGAGGATAAGGGACGCGATGAACTTTAAAGAGGACGTTGCCAATATAAATTGTGCGTACCGGATGGCAATACAAAATAATAAATCAGATGGGCGAAGACAGTGACGACAAATGAAAGTGTGCAGTGCAATGTTTTGCGTTTATTGTTATGTAAATAGTTATACTAATATAATATGTAAGTGCTATTGTGATAAAAAAGATGTGTATATGTATCTATATGTATATTTTTCGGCCGCTGTGGTGTAGTGGTAAGCAGTGCGCGCTCTCACTCATCAACACCTGGGTTCAAGCCCTGGTCAAAGCAACATCGCAAAAAATATAGAAAAAGGTTTTTTCTTAACAGCGGTCGTCCCTCGGCAGGCAATGGCAAACCTCCGAGTGTATTTCTGCCATGAAAAACAGCTTCTCATAAAAATGCAATCGCCGTTCGGAGTCGGCGTAAAACTGTAGGTCCCTCCGATTTGTGTGACAACATCAAGGCGCACGCCACAAGTCGGAGGAGAGGCTCGGCCAAACACTAACATAAGTGTAAGCGCCAATCTATTATTATTATTTATGTAACTATGTCTAATTGTGTGTATTATGTTTTGTTTTTTTACAATAAATCAGACTCCCTGATGAAGGCGTGAAGTGCGCTGAAACGCGTAGGAGAAAAAAAATTTATGCATTCGTATGCATAACCATCTTATATTGTTAGGAGGGCTCTATTGCGTATCGTTATGAGACAACAAGTCGATTCTCTTAAGGCATTTAGTTTTACAGGAGATCGAAGTGACTGTTGCTAGCAATTCGCTCTAAACTTTTCGTAAATTAGAGTTTTCGTCGTTGTTAAAATCGTGGTATTATCTTTAGAAAAAATAACAGTTTTCGAGTATCCGCTCATGGACATTGTAATCTAGAGTATGTTTTTTCATTGTCACGCCATCTAAAAACTGACGAAAGACGTAGATATTCACGGATTGATTTTTTTTCTTTACTTATTATGATGGATTAGGAAAATAG